AACCTTTCAATTATTAAACATTAATTTTTTTTGTCGGTACATGTACAAATATTCCAACGATTAGAAACGATTTCTAAGTGTTCACCATTACACCAAAAGCAATTAGATTAGAAGCAATCATTTCGAACGAATTATGCTAATCGTTTGGCATTTGCGTTCAATGCACTGATTGTGCGTGCGACAACACTGAAATTACCCGAGTTTCTAATATCTAAGTAGCTATGAATGGCATTTCTGTTACATCAAACAGCTCTAGAATAATCGTAATTAGGAAAGATAAAATAAAGATAGCAGATTTATATCAACAAGGAAGCATTGATTAAATTCATTTGACAATTGTGACTATTCTCCCTCTCTATCCTTCTCATAGACACACATTCTCGATCAATCGATTGATCGATACACTTGCTCTGTGTGGCCACTTTCTAATAACAAACGAAACAAAATTATACAATGCTACAAGTGCTCATAAGCCCAGGTGAATGTTATCTCATATCCAATATCGATGCGTATATGCACACCTTAATGCCACTTCTGTGTGCTACAAATTTAATGAGTACTCTCATGTGGACTCGCACACATATACATTATTGATTACTTAATATTTGTTATTGAGTTCGAAAAAGTGAGTTTTTTTTCTCTCTGTTGTTGTAGCTGCTGCTTTTGTTCATTTGTTATTCTTTTGATTGTTTCATTGCACTTGCACCTTCACTGTAAACATTTTGTTCGCTCTATTTCTGGCATGCTTTGATTTTTTCGCTCGTTAAAAAAAACAACAACATTATGGAGAATCTAAATCAGTTATCTGCTTTGTCATTGTTGTTCTGAGCGTCATAGTCTGCGTTATTTTGTTTGTGCTCTCCGTTCATTGAGAACGTGAAAAATCTCGATCCCAGTTTGGTGATTGCCAAGGTTTTTCACTTTCGCGCTACCCAAGTAAAACCTTTACAGTTGGTGTGCCACAACTTTTTCGATTGTATCGACATACGAATTCAAATTCCAGAATCCAAACCAATCGATACGATACATGAAAAGTGGTTCTTTTTAATAAATACATATGCACAAATGTGCAATTGATTAATAAAGTCATGGATTGAATTTGCATACACTTACTGTGCAATGTTGTTTGAAAAAATGTGAACAAGCGGACATAAATCGCTCGAAAGTAGTGTTAATGGTTTGCTTGGGTACGTGAATTTATGCATATTTTGTTTTTGTTGTTGTTTATGTTGTCTCTTCGATTGATAGTTACGAGAATTTGAACTGCAAATAGCTATCACATTACATTTGCTTTTTCTAGTGCGATCAATTCAAAATCAATGTCGCTTTTTATATGCAAGCTGAAAAGTAGTTTGCTATTTTTTTCTCTCTCGATTTCAAATGCCATTACGTATTTTGTATACTGAATGTATGCTTTGCGGCTTATTTCGAACGAGAAAAATTGTCTGCCTCTATTCGATACAATGAGTGCTAATAATATACGGAATGTCAAATTTTAGAACGACGACATGGATTGCAGATGCATTTGGGCTTGCCCACAAACGAAACTACATTTGATTAAAGTACCCTTCGATGTTTATGCGTTTTGATTACATCTCAACCACTTGAAAATGATGGGAATGATCGCTTAATAAGGCTGAATATTGATTATGATACTCATCAATGGTTTCCAAACCTATTTTATCGCTATGCCACTTTTATTTGAAGTTAAATATTTACACTAGACTCAGTTTTTACATCTGTCTCTTTCGCTCACAAATCAATGATCTTGCCAATGACGATGAAAAAGAGAAATGAGACAACAAATCATCAAGAATCAAAAATTAGCACCTTCATACACAAAACTGCTGCGCGACGATATGTTATTTTTTGCGATCAAAAATGTATTCATGTTCAAATGTTGTTTCTATTGAAGAACGATGCGTGCGTGTGCCTGTCTACTTATGTCAATCGTAAAAATTCAAGTGATCTGAACTACGTGATCAGTTTTTTTTCTCACATTTTGTTCATTAATGCTCAACGATGGATCGGAATGGCGGTAGTAATTGGTAAGTGGCTTTTTTCGGAATTAAAACCAGTCGCATGGACAAGAGCTATATTTAATTAAATAGCAACATTAAAATTATATTACTGCAAGAAACCAGTCGCTTGTCCAATATTAGAATTGAATTTATTTATGACTTCTGTATGTTTCAAAAATAGAGAAGTGTTGTATGTGAACAAGAAACTACAATAACAAATGAGCCAAAATTTATAAGTGTACATACATGAACGAAACGAAATTTGCATTTTAATGATTATTTCGAATGCACAGTTTGCTTATATATATTTTTTTTCCTACTTCAAAAGCCATTAAATATGCCGCACTATCAGACAGAGAAAATCGAAACGATGAAATGTTGTGTACGGACGATGATGTTGATTTCGGCATTTCTTATCGGTACACATATTGGCTGATTCATACTCATCCATACGCACACAACAACAACAATAGCAATAACAAAAATAAGAGCGAATAGCGCGTATCGGAATCTGCTGGAATTGCATAATAATTTTTCGTGCTTCTTTCGTGTGGTGGAACTTGCTTTTCGATTGTCATATTACATTTCTGATTAGTTATTCGTAACACTTCGTATTTAAATGACACATACTTTTATTATATACATAGTAACATTTTTTTTCTTCATCATATTTTTTAGCCCTCTTTCCGCGAGAGAGCCGCATGAAGCACGAAGCAACAAATGGCCTGTCATAAATCGCATTTCATTTGAGGCAATCGCATATATGAATATGCGTATAAATTTTTTTTTCTCTCTCGCAAAATGTGTATTATTTTCGAGAAAAAAAAGTTTTTGTTTTAAATTAGAGCCTGACGAGCGATCAAACGGTTTGCTACTAAAAATCATGTTGCAATAAACACTAAAACCGAATTCACAAATTTTTCCAAAAAGATTGTTTTGTTATTGAAATCTTAATAGAGTTTTAGAAACGACACTTGGCATCATTGCTTTAGACAATATATTCGGGCATTTTTACTGCTTTTTTGGATAAAATATTGCTTTTTTGATGTGTGACTGAAAAAATATATATATTTTTGTTGTTTTCTGTTTTTTATGCGCTTTATGATTTCAGGCAAAGAGCGAAGGTTTATGTGGCAAAGCAAGCAATCGCGCGCATTTAAGTTGATTGTGTCTCTTTTTTTTTTGTTAAATGGTGTGCGCACTGGTTCACGTGTTTGGAAATCGATATATGGAAGTTGTAAGAAAACCCGAAAACTATTACTCAATCATTCGTGTTTTGAGATGGAGTGACAGCATGCGCACCGCGCAATAAACTAGTTGCTGCTGTTAATGCTGCTCTGGGTGACAATGCATCGGCTTGAGCTGATATGGACATAAATGCGAAACCAATCAAGAAACAAACTAGCAAAGACACACACATACACAGGTGATTGGTTAAAATATATATATATTGGTATGTTTTCATGTTGTTCTTTCCCGCACATCATTTCGACAATGATTTCAACAGATTTTTCATCAATAAAATGATGCTTCTCTCATGGTAATGCTCATTTAAATATGAGGACAGAAAAGTGAAAAGAAAACTTTCTCTGTCGATTAAATTCTTGGTGATGTAATCGGTTTCGGTTTCGTTGAATGCGGCTTCATTTCAAGAACGAAAGCATGTCAATCAAGTCTTCGATTGAAACAAACCGATTTGGAAAAAAAACAACGATTTCTATTTTACTTTGAACATCATCTTCGGCTTATGAGTCTTATCACATTTGTTCTAAGCGAATTGACCAAGAGCCAGAGAAACTATGTGTAAAGGTTTGTTTGGTGTTGTTACATTATCGTGCACCCGCCGATCGCAGCAAGACAATTTATTCGATCGAAGTTTTTCTGTCGCTCTCTTTCTCACACGGTAAATGACACATACAATTTCGATTGTGTAATTGCGACACTTTTTTTTATTTCTTTCTTCATCTCTAGATTTCGGTCAATAAGAGAAACTTTGCAACATTGTAATCGTATGATACTCTTAAGCGTCCGCTTGCGCGCAACATGTAGATCAGAAATCGATAGTAATTTTTTTTGTTCCAAAACAAGTCAATTTTTTTGGCCGTATTGTTGGCTGTTCATTCGATTGAATGATGGCATTTCTACCCGTTGTATACTTTTTTTTCTACTTTTAACTCTGCTCTTTAAGTGCGCCACTTTGGATTTTGGCGAATCTGCATGCAACGAGTATACATGTATAAATACGTTAAACCAATACCGCTCAGCCAATTTTGTGCAACCTGTTGGCGCTTGAAATGAATTTCACTTGGAAAAAAAAGCACACACACAGAGAGAGAGATATGTGATCATGACATTATTAATTATATCGTTTCTCGTCCATTTATTTGTTTTAAAATACGATTTGTATGTGTCGTCTTTCCCTTTTGCACACCATCTATATCTTCATCTTTCTCTCCCATTCGCTTTCAACCCGAATGCAGCCCACTTGTGGCACATTACACACACACAGCATCTCTCGGTCACAACTAATAGTGTCATCGTATCAGATTTTTTTTCTTCTTTTCGTTTAATTAAATTAACATCAACCGAAATTTGAAATTCAGTGAAAACGCAACGGAAACGAATGACCCTCATCCATTTCAATCCATGAATTTATAACCGAAACAAATTCGCAACACAATCAAATCTTGAGCACTTGATGGTGATTGTGTTCCTTGAATACATTCGAAAAAATCATCCTACATTCTCAACTCTGTTTTTGTTTCGTTTTTCCTTATTAAAATCTTGATCGATATTTCTTTTATCAACAATTTATTTCCTTTTAAAAGTTGTGATTATTGTTGTTTTTTTTGCTCTGATAAAATTCGATTTCGGTTTTCACGGTGATCTTAATACTTATTACATCTCAAAAGACAGTTCTTCGTTACTCTGTTGTCATATAATTATTTCAAAAAACAAAAAAAAAAAGAATGCACTCACATAATTTACAAGGTAGTGAACACAATACAACACAACACAATACCGGTTAATTATTTCGAGTAGCAGTTGCACTGCAATGCACAAGAACGTATATTATTCGAACAGAGCAAATGAATTTTCTGACTATTCGAAAAGTCCGTTATGCCGGAGAAAAAAATTTATAATTAAATGGTATTTAAAACAGTACGAAAAAACATTTTCGCAATTAAAAAAACTAAATGGAATAGAGCTTAATAATTTGTTATTATTCAGATGGGCATTTCACGCGATATTATAATAATATTTTTTGGGGCATTCGCCGTTCTAAATTCCCAACCATCAAAAAGTTTTTCTCAAAATAGAAACATATTATTATGCGATGTGATCATGCATTTTCATGCAAAACTGGTATTAAACGCGATTTTCATCTTTTTTCTTCTTCTTTTAAATGTGTTGACTAAGAACTATTTGTTTTCATTCTCATTTAAACAATTTGAATTGATTACCGTTTTAAATTATCATTTACACAAATGAACATTTGGCACACTCTCTGAACCAATGAACAAATTTATTATAATAATTATTATTTTTTTAAATTCTGAAAAGATAATTTTCACCTTGTTATTCTTCAAAAACAAAATTTGACGAAAAAATCAAACGACAAAAATTGAATCGTTTCTATTAAAAACGCCGATTCGCTGTAAATAATTTCGAATTCATCGAACCGTCGAACGGTATATCACGTTTGAAGTAGAGAGTAAGAGTGTTTAGTTACGCGTCTTTTATCGACTAAAGCAAATGATCAACTGAACTGGAATTGCTAACCGACAAAAATTTGTGTACACAAACGATCGAACGAAAGAAGAAGAAGAAGAAGAAAAAAAGCACAGCGACATACACACAAAATATAGGCGCACTTGCGCCCGCTCTTTTTGAATTGTTACTGCTTTATGTTTAGTGCGCTTCTCGACACCGTTTCCAAAACACCTCAATCTATGTATGTGCCTTCTCTATCCATATATCAGTCACAATTGTGTGTTATACGGTGCCAGAGAATGGAAGTGGATGGCGAACGAACGAACGAAAGCGCCAACCATTCACGCGCGCTTGTATTTGTATGATTACTTTTAAATATTGAACATGTGCGAAGTGCTTGCAGATGTAAAAACATACGTTTATCCTTAACAACAAGCCACGAGGAAGCTGATAACGATCATAAAAACATAAACAATGAAACTGACCAGTGTAATCGAAGTGAAGAAAGCATTAGCGCGCAACTTAACAATATACAATATGCTTATCACAATGAAAGATATTCGCCTCGACTGGCTGCTGATAACAATAATGTGGCCATCCATTGGCAACTTGTGGTAGACTTTTTAGGAGAACAACATCAAATTTACTGTTGGCGTGTTACTCGTCCGAACCCTCCGAATCGAAATTATTTTAGTGAATGTGCCATTCGAAGTTGTTGGTACTTCAAAAATACAATAGAAAATTTTGGCTTTGTTGCCAATTGGATGTTGATTGATTAATTCCTATTTTTTTCAATTCAAACATATTACGCAATTATTATATCTTCTCTGCAAATTTGGATAAATATTAAGCTGACAAAAAGTAAGAAACGCAAGAAAATCTCATCTTTGTAAGTATTATTTATGATTGATAAGTGTTAGACTTGATAATAAACCTTTAAAGAGCCGAATTCTTTTTTCGAAAAGTATTTGTGTGTATATCTACTTTAGATATTGAAATCGTCTGCAGAATTTATGTGCACGTCTTAAGAAATTTTATAAACAAAAATTGAAAAGATAAGGTTTTAGTTGATAACCTGTGTGAGCCATAAAGTTTTTTTGAGCCCTTAAGCATTTGTCGCTTGGTATTCATCATCTATTGTCTGTCATGCATTAATTAATAGCTGAGACTCGTTTGGAAATTTGCTTCTAATTGTTTTTTTCCTTCTTCGACTCATTTGCGCTTTCAAATTTTTGTACAAAAGTAAATTCAAAGCATATACGAATTGCAATTGCATCCACAGATGTCACTCTCAGACATGAAATTAAAAATTCTGGGCTCTACATTTCTGTGTTCATGTTTTGAGTTTTAAAAACGATAAACTGCCCAATAGAAAGTGCAGATCACTTTACCAGACATCCAATGCACATTAAGTGACTGTATGAGCGTGTTTTCGATCCGAATTTGAACATTGTCTGTCGTTGCATACTATAATCGTTCATGCTTGATTTGCATTTATGAATGAATATGCATATAATTTACGTGTTGTAATTTTTATGTTTTATCTAACGTATTTTAGTCACTAGCCATATGAATCATCACAATATTGCTAATTTTTTCAGCTCTCTCCATCTCTTTCTTTCTTTGTTTTCTGTTTCTTTGCAGTGTCTGCGGTCATTTTTATGTATGTTTTTGTTTTGACTTGTCGTCATTGTTTGCCGTATAATGCTTTCTTTGTGTAGGAAAAATGCGATTTAATTTATGCGAAGGCCATGTGACGTGCATCATAATTCAATTAGGTGTTTGCATATGTGTGTGCATTGCTGACCATTCCGGCAAAGAAGGCATAAATTGCGGAACTAGTAAAAAAAATACCAAAAAGGCTACTTCGATGAAGAAAAAATCATCATCAATCTCTCTCTGGTACGGTGAAGTAAGGTCAGGTGAAAAAAAATTGTTCTCACTTCGTTGTCATGTGAATGACCCGGTGGTTTGTCATGTACACTTGCTATCCAAAGAATCATAGTCGATATGGACAGCATTTCATTGAACTTGATAAAATCAAAGCGGAAAACCTTTACAGAGTTTCCTATCCGTATAACGATTGCCGGCAGCTACCAATGTTCATTGATCCTTTAATGACACATTCATTTCATTTTATCGCTTTGATCGCTCTTTAAACAATCCGCATTTATTTCTTAAACCATTTATGTTTTATTTAATTTTAAATTGAACTGCTTTTTCCACAACATATGAACGTCATTTATAAGATCCAATTTGTGTACTTTTGTTTTTTTTTTAGTTTAGTATTAATTCAATTCCCTCAATATGTAAGGAAGTAAACCGTTTTTCGTTCAACACTTCATTCGACAAAGTTTCCAACAGAAAACGTACAGAAAAATGCTAGGGGTTTTTATCTCAATCAAAACACTGTGAATATTGCGTATATTTTGCGTATATTCACTGCGAATATTCGCAAAATACGTACATTCAATGCATTATTCGTAAAATATGCATAGTATATGTACCATCGAATAATATATATTCGCGAACAGATAAATTCCCCTAGGAAAAATGGCAGAAGAAATACTTACGGAAGACTCTAATTCATCTACTTTGGAAAAAGAACATCCAAAACTTGCATAACAAGGGGCTTATGAGTAAATTCAGTTGCAAAAGTCTCATCTAAATTGCACGTATTACAAAGATTTCGGAAAAACGAATTGTATACAAGAAGTGATTTTTAAATAAATTCGTCGAATACAATCATGCATAAAGACCTTGAGTCGAGCCTTACAAATATTTTAATTTCGTTTAGATAATTCACTATGGTGATGAATGAAATTCTGCTTATTGTATGAATTAATATGTGGAACAGTTTATTAAACTCAATTTAGTCTCTTTAAGAACCAATAAATCACTCACTCTTTCACTGTTTAGTGGAATTTAATGCGACTGATTCAATAGATATTCTAATAACTCTGAGATAAAATTGAGAATTTTCGTCGAAATTCTGGTGATAAAGAGACAAACATTATTCCTCGTATATATACTGACAGAACGGTTCTCAAATGTCGTCTATTTTACATCACTTTACATTAATTCTACTGCTGATATGATCAAATATAATTTGATGATACACCTAATCATTGTTCCTCAATGAGAGAGATTCTCATATCAAATCAAGTTATCGTTCTTTAGAGAATTTTCACTTCGGAGAAAAATGGTGTATAGTAAAGTACACATCTTGCATAAAAAAATACGAGGTCGCGAAATTTTGAGTACTAAGCCCATACTTTTCGGCATGATTCGAAAAATACCAAAGATCTCATCAATGGTCATCGATCTATTGCAAATTGCTGAAAATTGCGAGCTAAGCGAGTAGCAACCTAGGTAGCAACATTTTTAACAACACAGCTTATTTGTTAAAGATTTGAATCGTGCAGAATAGATTACAAACCAGAGTGCAATCTTCGAGCATATTCATGATGTTAAAAGAACGTTGGATTAGGAACAAGTGGACCAACGACTTTTAACGGAGATAATCAAAAAAGTTTTCCCAACATAGCGCCTCAAACTCTAATTCTATTAATCACATACTAAATGATTATACAGTGCCGTGCAAAAGTATGAGACCACCTATGTATTTTTCATACAAAATGGCGTAAAATACCATTTTTTGAGGTTTCA